CATCCGTGGCCTCGTCTTCTTGTTGTGTGAGTGCGTACAGGGCTGGCGCTGACAGCTTGTCAGGTAGAGATGCGAATCCATTCTACTACGTGGTTAAACCATGTCAAGCACTAGGCATGACTACATCCCTCACGCTGCAAGTTCTCCTGATGTGTGAAGGCATCATTGATTGCAAGCTCTGCGGTCTCAGGTTTCCTGATTACCATTCCCGTTCTTGAATGTCAAGAAGTTTGTAAAGGCGCGCGATGTCATTGGGCTGTTTAGACTTGGGTACAGTAGTTTTCAAGTGCTATTGTCCTCCTTGTCCAGGAATTGAGATTACTCGTTGGAGCCTCAGTAGTCATGCCACAAGACGCCGGCTTCGGGATGTGGGTTGCTGCTTTTTCGACGCCATAACTATAAGTAGTTGGGCAGTGCTTAGCAGTGCAAGAATGTTCTCCTTGAGGCTAGTGCGCCCAACAATAGCGGTAGCAGCAATGACAGAAGCAACAGCAGTGCGGCAGCAGCAACAGAATTTAGAGACTTCATGCAAAGAGCCTCAGCCTGCTTGCCGCTGAGATCCAGTTTGTCTCTGGCAGTCGCCGGACATCTTCACTAACCTAACCAGGCCGATACTCTCTGATGCCAAGCCACATAGAACCTTCAGTTGACTCTCAGAACTTTTAGCTGCCGCAGGCATGAACGTTGTCAAGCTTGCCGAGCTCAGCCAGCTATGCCTCCGCTCACATGGCAAGGCCGAGACTTTACAGAAGTTGCCCGTTGCACTTCACTGAGTATTCGTCCGCGAGCTCAACAGATGTGCCTGCCGCACATATCCGCGGCATTTGCCAGGTGCTTTGCCAAGACAGCCGCCATCATCAGAGTTGCCTCCAGCAGACAAGGAGGCTGGACCCAGCACCATCAAAAAGACTTATCCTTTGACTCGAGAACAAACCTTCTCGAGGCCATGGTGCTGCAGGTTGATCAGAGACGGCTGAACGTCTGGGCCTCAGGATCCGACATTGACAGGCCAGAGCTGGGGCAGGGATGCAAAACGCTTATGCTGGGTTCTGAGATCTGAACATGGCATCCTGAGGTCCGAACGAGGGGGCACAAGCTCCAGCCGGATGCAGCTCAAGAGCAGGCAGTTGAGAGGGGTGCTGCTACCAAGCCTAGTTTCAAAACACTGCGCTGAATCAATCATAGCGGACCCACTTTGGAGGCTGCGCCGCCATTCATCCCAGGGATAACTTCGCCGAAGGCCGGTTTCTGGATAATGCTGCCGGTGCTACGGTTTTACACCCTCAGTTTAAAAGAGAATTTAAGCCCCTCCATGTGGGAATATAACCAGGACGTATGCCCAGTCGGTGCGGGGTGGCCTGTTTGACAAGGTTTGGCAGCAATCGCAAATCTTGGCTTGACAGGAGTGGGCGTTGGACGCCTCCGACGCACTTCGGCAGATTTCAATTTTTTCGTTGAGAGCAAGTTGCTGGGGTGAAGTGAACCCTGGCCTCAGTCCCGAAATAATCTCCGAGCTCCTGAGCAAGTGCTGTAGCTGTGACCATCCAGTCCCAGACGCGCCACATTGACTCCATCAGTGGCTACTACAACATGGCGGATGGAGCCTGCAGGGACCTTGATCAAACTGGAAGAACTTGGCACGGCTCGAGCGCGAGGTTTAGATAAGATTAGATGAGATATGATGAGATGCTGTCTAGAGTCTAGACGAAGCTGTAAGGCTTAGATATCAGTTGGAACAATGGAGAGACAGGACTCAACAACAGTTGCCATTTGGTCACAGATAAGAGGTTTGATGCCGAGGTCTCTGGTACTGGCAATACGGTCTCCTGATTGGCTATGGCTTTGCCTTGGTCTATGCCGACCTGTTCTCAGCTACAGTATGACCAGTGCCAGGTTTTTGTTCCAAGTTATGTACTGCGCTCGCAGGGATTAGACATTGGGATATATTCAGGGGTTGGGAGGGTGAGTCCAAAGTTGGTTTCGGGAGAGTTGTTTGGTGGGATGATCAAAGGACACTGGTTTTGGACAACTTGAATATCGGGGTTCGTCCGTGAAGTTCTGGCGACAAGGCTGGCAGTCTGCCTGCTGGGCTCCTGTGCGCCGGGTGCTGAGCTGCAAACGGAATGCCAGCATTGAGGGCAGATGCAGTTTTTTCACATCGATCCAGTTTCCATTTCATTTTCCATTTGCCTTCTTTCTTTTGATTTTCCATCTAAACCCTAAAACCTAGCCCAACGCATTCTGTAAGCCGCTTGCATGGTTGCAGGATCGCTATCGTCGTAGTGGGATTCTGGCGCTGTCCCTCTTTGTATGGTCAATCTGCACATCCATGCAGGCAGGCTTGAAGCTAAGCCCTGTGGCGCACGATTGTTGGTAATTGGTGGTTCGTAGGGAATGAGGGAATATATTATATAAGGAATTGTATAGGGATTATATTCCCAAATTCCCTACTAGCCGTCAGTAAGTTGTTGGTAATAGGTAAATCTGCGGGTCAGGCGCTGGCCAAGAAGGTTTGGCTGCTGCTGGTTTGGAGGGCCCTGATAGGCCTCTCCCAGGCAAGGGCTGGCGTTAGCAGCTATTCTCACCGTAGTAGGGTTTAGGCTTTAGGGATATTACCCCAATAATGGAGGATTAAATGGAAAAGAAGACGGTAAAAAGAAATGGAAACTGGGATTATATGAAGATTACGTGGCAGTTTGTAAGGGTTCTATAGGAATACTGAAGAATCAAATGGAAAATCACATGGAGCATGACGTGGAAGCTACTCTATGCAGGGTTATACGAGAATTGCTTGGTAGTTTGCTGAGGCAGGGGCCCAATATAGACCCCAAGATTCTATATATATATATATATATATGCTACCCCCCCCCTCAAAACCTACCTTTTAT